AAGAATATTAAATAATAATAAATATTGTATTATAATATTTAAAAATTTTAAATATAAAAAATAATCATTAATTTAGAAATATTTGTAAATTTTTTATAGCTTTAATATAATAATTATATTTTTAAATAATATCATTTTAAATATTTAATTTTAATTATAAGAATTATGGTTAATAAAAAAATATTAATAGTAAAACATTCTTTTTATACTATAAATGTATTGTAAATTTAGTTTCAAATAGTCTATAATGCACTGTTGCATTTCTTACCCTTAGTGAGTAGCTTGCCTCCATCTATAATATGAATTGGAACGAATAAAGGAAAATTTGATTTTAGAAAATTGATTTAAAACACTAATTCAATTAAAAAATTTATAAAGAAAAAAATCAATTTAATATGTATCCAATTTTTTAAAATTAATTATAAATTGTAACTACATAATCAGATTTTTGTTGCCTAAACATATCAATCAGTGACTCATTGACCCGACCCGATACCCTTGCTAAGTCAAAGACCGGGTTAATTCATACGAGATTGATTAAAGGTAATTGGTCATAAAACTTTAAGGACCAATAGAATAGTACTTAATATTGCTAGACTATTAAAGATTTATTGTAATGATCATGCAACATTTTTTATAAGAACAACTACTTTAAGGGTGCTAATCATATGGAATTAAAGCACTTTCCTATAAAAGAAGTTCAAAAGAAAATATGGTTAATAGAACATGTTGGCACCAATCTCATGATAGTTAACTCATTACAAAATGGTTAATGCCTAAGACATTTATTGGACATGCTAAAGAAAGGAAATTATTGTTATATAGAATTGTTGATTTTTATGTTTTGTGTATTATGTACTAGGAACTCTCATTTATGATATGTTTCTGATTAATTGTTCTCTATACTTGCATGCACGATTATATTTTAGTAATGTAAACAATATCTGCCCTTAGCGAGGACACTATGTAGGATCAATTATGTGTTTATCCAATCTGTGGTAGATGAAACAGACTATATCAATTAAATGATAATAATATCAATTATGTACTTAACCTTAAAAATGATCTATAATGATAATTTTATTAAAATTTTGTGCGAGTTTTACAAAATGGTAGTTTTAGCCCTTCCTTCCATGTCATGTAACTAATTGATCAACTAAAAATTAAACTTAATGTTATATATAGCAAAACTCTTATGCCAGTGAGTGCAGGAAAAAGCTATTAAGCGAAGGTAAGATAACCTGATTTCTTTAATAAGTTATATAAAATAAATATACTATTGGCTTTGGTTCTCGAAATTTTGGGAGTGCATTTTAAAAAATAAAACATGTAGTTTTAATTGTTGATTAAAAAATCTTTGATCAAAATTAGTTAGAGGAGTCAAATTTAATTGCAAAAATAATAATTGAATAATTATATAGCTAGTCAATTTTGAAATAAATTAGATTAAATTAGCCCAATCGTATTTATGATGTGATTATAGAATTTTTTTTATTATAGTTAAATTAATTTAATATTTAACATATATATTTATATTCCAATTAGAGTTACCAACAAATTTCTAGCAATCCCTTTCACACAGTAACACATTGGTATAACATAAATAAATAATGATATTTTTTTTATTCATCTCACTTTTTTAATATATCTTTTTGTCTATTGAATCTAGTGAGAAAGATAAGAGATAAGCTAAGATCTTATAATTCAAACAACATGTGAAATGAATCCTATAGATTTCATTTAAGTTAGTTTTTGATAGTCATCAACACAGAAAAATCATGAAAAATATATATAGAGAGAGAAAGAGAAAATTCAAAGGAAAGAAGTGAATCCTTGAATCCAAATGAATAAAATTAAACAAATAATTAAGGTTAAAATCACACATTGCATCGTCCCTTAAATAATTGCTAATTTTTTCCAAATTTAAACTCCTCCTCCCCAACCCAAAAATATTGACTCATCAAATAAGTTTAAATTTAAAACTAATTTTAGTGAGGCAGACCCAAAACATTAAGGTTATGTTATGAATTTGCATCTAATACCTTTAATTTGGTTCAACATTAAAGATTTTTTTATGATCAAGTAGCTATCTAATCGTAATATAATTCAGTTTGTGTAAGCTTTTATATAAAAAGAAATCATCAAGAAAAATGAATCAAAATTTTTCTATAAGTTGAAAATAACTTGTCTTCTTAAATTTTAGAGAAATTAAAAAAATTATAAAATAAAAAATATCAATTAATTTTAACTTATAAAAAATTGATTTACTTTAATATTTAAGTTTTGACTTCTATAAGTATTTATTAAGAAGTTTATTTAAATTTAGTTTATGACTCAGTTTGAATAAACTTCTAAAAAATAAAAAAAAATTACTATAAAAAATGAATAAATTTATTTTATGAGGTTGAAATAATTTATGTTTTTTTATTTTTTTTAAATTTTTTATATAATTTTTTATAACTTAAAAAGATAAGATAAGTTATTTTTAATTTATAAGAAAAAATTTATTAATTTTTTTCTCTTATAAAATTTTTCTAACGTAAACACAGTTTTATTTAGGAAGAGTAGTGGAGACAGTACTATCGTTTATCGTTTTAGAAAACAAACATTACTAACTTAAATTTAACAACAAGCCAATGCTTAAACCTGTATTGGATTACGTATACAAAAAATTATTTCTTAAATTTATCACAATTGAAGCTCAAGTTTCACGTATGTTTGATATCATAATTTAGTACCTTTATATTTATTTCTTACTTGATACAATCATCCTAAAAATTAAAAGCTGCTGGTATCTGAGGATAAAATATTTTTTAAGAATACTAACATTTAATAATCCTAATAAGCATCCCTTATATTGCCGTGGTACTTATAAATAGATAAAATTGTATTTTTTTTTAATTGAGATTGATTGTATTTTAGTTTTTAAGTCTTTTTAGCTATTTAAGTTTTGTTTGATATTTAAAATTATGCAAAATTAATCTTAATATTAATTTATTTTTACTTAAAATTCTTAAATTATTATTTATCTAAATATTGAGGTATGTAATAAAATTAAAATATAAAACAATTTTGAAAGTTAGACATAACAAAATTACTCTTTTCGTTACTTTAGGGTAAAATTTACTTTTGTTCTCTAACTTTTTATTTTCATTTTAATCCACTAACTTTTAAAAAAGTTTTAAATAGGTCTTTTTCCATTAAAAATCTTAACTCTGGAAGCTTTCATGTGCAAATACTTTGCCCAACTGCATCCATTGCATGAAGTTCAATCTTTCTATTGACTCATAACAATCAAGGACTACACTACTCCATCCACTATGTCAACACTGTTTCTAAATTTCAAAGGCATCAAATCTCATTCCATTGTTACGCTGCACAATCCCTTGAATTTTTTTCCACTCTGCTCCTAAGAATCAAGAGGCCAATAGGGAGATCGCTGTACCACTAAGTAACTCAAAGCACTTTGAGCCTGCAAGAGGAGACCACAAACTTAGGAAGAAATTGTTGCATCAGTCCATCTCACCTTCTCTAACATAGATGTTGGAGATGAAAATAGGTATTTAAAAAGTTGATTTATTTATAGTTTGAGATTTCGGGGTGAATGCTTAGTGTTAGTGGCAAGAAAATGAAGTTTGAATATAAAAAGATAAAAATAAAAGAAAGAAGAAAAGGTGTTAGAGACAAGGTAAGAGATTTAAGGAGAAAGATGATAAATAGTAATGCATAGTACACATGGCACAAAATGACAAAATTTTTAATGAAATTTAGGATTTTTAACGGAAAAGGACCTAGTTAAAACTTTTTAAAAGTTAGAGGATTAAAATGAAAAAAAAAAAGTTAGAGGATGAAAACAAATTTTATTTAAAATTAAGGAATAAAAAGAGTAATTTTGCCTAAATTTTGCAAAAACTTGATAAAAACAAAAATAATTTATAAGATGTGATATTAATATTTGAAAATAGAAAATTTTTTAGATTTTTTATTTTGGATGAAAATTAATCTTTGAGTTGATATTTTAAGTACAAAATAATTTAATTAATTCAATTTAGAAATATTTTTTATAAAAAGTTAAAAATTTAGAGTTTAATATAAAAAAAAATGTAAGACGAATCCATATTCTCTTCTATTGTGAGACGAACTGAACATCTAGATTTATTTTTGTTTAAAAAATAAACCCACTTAAAAAATACAAAAAAATGACATAAAATTATATAAAATTTGTTTAAACAAATATCGTGTAATAAAAGAAGGATGAGAGTGAGAGGGGGCTTGGTGGATGCGGGTAGAAGAGGAGACTAGGCAATAGGTGAGTGTGGGATCAAACCCAGAAGTTGAATATAGGGCAAGAGAGAAAAAAGATGAAAGCTGGAGAGAATGAGAAAGGTTGGATATAGAGAAGAGAGAGAGTGTGAAGCATGGGAAAAGAGGAAGGTTGAGAAGAGAGTTCAATATGGAAGAGGAGAAGAGGAAGTGAAAGTAGAGAAAAAAAATAACACAATTTTTTTTTATAATATTATTTAAATAAGTTAATTTTTGTTTAAGAAAAAAGATTAAATATTCATTTGACGTAATAAGAGAAAGAATCTAAATTTGATGATGAATAATTTCATTGTATATTTTAAAAAAAACTAAAATGATTTAAAAAATTAAAATTAAACATTATATAAAAAAATTAAACTATTATTAAACATTATAAACATAAATAAATATTTTTAAAAATTAAATTTTTTTTTTGTTGAAGTCTTGCAACCGTTAAACAACACAAAACACAATTAACTTTTCTCACCAACCCAACAAAACCGTTGAGCCTTCTCCCACCATCCCTCTCTTTCTTCAATTTCTCTTACTTCATTCCTTCCTATTCTCTTCTCTTTTCCACAAAACCCCACCAATAAATTGATTTCCCTAACCACACTCCACTCAACCTTATATATAATCATTTTCACTGCCCCATTATCTAAAACCAAATTCACTCACTCCCCATTTACAAAATAAAATGCAAAGTTTATATGTCAGTCCAAACATCAAACCTATGCTTAATTTTTTATTAATGTTCCTTTTCATTTACCTCATTGGCTATTTTATTATTTTTCGTAAATGGAGCTCCAAGACCCGACCCGAAGCTTCAAGCTGTTTAATCTCCCTCTTTCACGGCACTCCGGCGACCATTCTCGCCGTCGCCGCCGTATTCGCCGACTCTAACCGCGGCTTCGCCGCCGTCAACACGCCGTTACAGAATCTTGTGCTCGATTACAGCACCGCTTATTTCGTGGCCGATCTTATCCACTGTGTCGCGTTTTTTGCGGGTGATTTGTTATTCGTCTTACACCACCTCGCAACGCTCTTCGTGATTCTCACGTGCCGACACGTGGCGTTTCGTGGGGCATTCGGGGTTCTTTCGCTCTTGGCACTGGCGGAGGTTACCAGCGCGTTGCAGAACGCGTGGGCGCTGACGCGTGCGCGGCGGAGCGATGTGGCGTTTGCGGCGAAGGTGTTTGATGCATTGTGCGTTCCGTTTTATGGGTTGTATTCGATGGTTCGTGGTGTTTTTGGGCCTTACTTTGTTTTTAAAATGGTTGTGTTCTTTTTTAGTGGACTTGCTGAGGGCCTTATTGCAACGTGGGTTTGGGTTTCTTGGGTTTTTGTTGTGTCTTCGGCTATTGTTGGTAGCATTTTGTGGGTTTTCAATCTTTGGGTTGAACTGTATAGAGAAAGAGCAACAAAAGTTGAGGAGAAGATTAGATAGGGGCATTGGTGTTAAATTTGTCTGTTATTATCAATTTCCTGTGGCGTCAAACGTTTTGTAAATGTTTGTTCAAATTAAAAAAACTGTAATGATAAAACGAATTAATAAAAATTAATACCGCATAAGATGTTATATATTATTATTTTTACTTTTTTTCATATATACATTTAAAAAATCCATTCAATATAGAAAAAAAGTATATACCTAAATGCATTCCCTCTCAGTGATATAAAAAAGAATTTCATTAAGCATTTGTTTATAGAAAAATGTTAACATCATACTCCTTTAAATACACTCTTGATAATTTGTTTATTTTTTAAAAGATAAAGCGCTTATTTAGTAAATTAATTTTATTTTAAAAATTATTTTATTTTTTTTAAAAAATTAACCAATTACACAAAAAGTAGTATGTTGAAAAGTATGTTAAAAAGAGTATATTAATATATTTCTTTGCCTATAACTATGTTAAATAAGAAGAACATGTATTTGTCTAAGTCAAATAATTTAAGATTTCTACGAAGCATTTGAAAGAGTTCATAAATATTTTTTTATAAATTCTTTTTCATTTATTTTAACAAAATTTCAAAATAATTTATCAAAATTTTTAATCTATTCTAAAAAAATTATGATTAAATTTATAATATGAACTCTTATGTATAATAAAAGATGTATCTTTGAACCAGAACAAGAGTAACATATACTGAGAAAATTCTAAACCTCTTCGACTATTTTAATATTAAAAACATAATTCTTACATTTTCAATAAAATAAATACTTGTTTTAATGTAATATGCACATTAAAGTTATCAAGACACATATTTTTAATCATACTTAATATTTTAAAATATATTATATAAAAATCAATTCTGCTAACACTAAAACTAAACACGCATTAAGTAGGTATGATTATAAGAAGTCGTTGAGAACAAACTAAAGCAAAGAGAAAAATGATGCATTCCTCTTATGAAAATTACAAACCAAAAATCTAGAAAAATCTCCTTCATTTGATTCCTTTAGAATAATTTCCTCTTCCATAACAGGCAATGTGTGTATACTGTAAGACTATACGAGCAATCTTTTGTAGTATAGTAAATAAACAGCAACCGCTGATAAACCAAACAGGTCCATAGTTGACTTCATAATAATCAACCTCATTTCTCTTGTTTGTATGCTACACCTTCCCATCACTGATTCAAAAGGGAAAGAGTTTAAGAGTAAAATTTGTAGGTCTTAGCCTGAGCTATGATCGTCCTCAATCCTCCAATAGGTGATAATATCATCAAACATAGGCCAAGCACAATACATATCTGTAATAAATGGACCAAGATTAGTCATGGGCTTAAAATGAAAAATTGTGAAAAAGAGATAAACAGAAGCAAAAGCCAAATTTAGACGTACCCAGTTAGTGAACCAAGACAAGCTGAATCTCTTTGGTTTGTAAACTTTAAGCCATATGATACAGGGGAGCTGAAAATATAAGAAAGAAAATCAATAGTCAAGCAAAATTACAACACTATTAAGGAAACTTAATGTATTGAAATTTATAATTATTCATGGCTTACAAAGTATGTTGTTGGAGCAAAAGCAAACCCTCCAAAAAATCCAAGGAGACCATTGAAAAATGGGAAGGTAATAGCAATGAACATTGTGAATGCTGGAAAAAATGAAAAAGATGATATGTCAATGCCTATGACTAAAGGAAAAGCATTGGAAGTGATATCATTAATAACCTGTCAAAAACATGTACAATATTTAGGTCTAGTTTGGGTAACTTTTAAAAAGAACTTATAGAAGAAAAATATAAGAAAATAAAAGAAATAAAACTCTTTATAAGTTTAAAAAGATATAAAAGTATAAGTTGGTTTTAAATTATTAGAGAAGTTTAACTCATTTTACTTACCCACGTATACATTACGTACAACAAAACGAAGCATTCTGCTTGGTTCAAAATTCAATTTCTTCACCATCAAAGTTTCAATCATATCAAACACTGGCATTGCATACACCTACATCAACATTCACAAAAACAGCAATTTCGAAAGTTTCAGTTACTTGAATATTGACCAGAAAAGAAGGGTGTTTTTTAAATGTAAAATTTTTCACAAGTACAAAGAATCAGAGGAATTGAACCTCACCTGATAGCTTCCAATTACATGAACAACAACAAACAAGTTAGCCATTGCAATAAGCCAAGCTGGTTTCTCTAAAGAGACAAGGATGTCATCCTCAACCGCATTGCCAAACATCCAGAAACCTACAAGAGCTACAGGGAAGTAGCATATAGCCACAACTATGTAGGCAACAACCACACCTCTCCACATAGGAATCTTGGATGGCTTCCCTGGTGTAGATGGGATTGTAGCTTGGATTTCTAGCACCACATTGTGTCCAGCATAGGCAAAAGCCACAGTACCAAGGGCATTAAAGAAGTTAAACATTGTTTCTGAAGCACTCTTTGCTTTGTAACCATATTGCACATTTTCTTGGACACCCTTGTGCACAGTTGCTGCCCAAGCAATTGTAGAGTAACTGTAGGAAAATGCAAACATTGAAGTCTAAATTAACATGTTGATTTCTGTTTCATTGTGTTATTCTCGTTCAACCAACAAAATTACCGGTTCATTGTACTCTCTGACATAATTTTTTTTTTAATATATGATTTATTAAAAAAATATTAACCTCAATTCTAAAGAATGACATTCCTATTGAAAGGTTATATAGAAGGGAAACGGGCTTATTATACCTTAAGGACATTACTGCTGCTGCCAAGGATACACCAGTAATTGAGTTGAAGTTTGGGAGATGGGACAGCACAAAGTGAACAGAGGCAAAGATCATAATGAAAAAGGTTAATTTAATATGTTTGCAGCTTGAACACACTGTATCATGGAACTTCTTCAATGATGTTCCCCCAGTGACCATGTAGACAATGTTCACCCCAATTTCAACCACAAGTTGTTGAGGCACCACAATATAAAGGCCTAGCTTTTCACCAAAGGCATACTGACCTAGTTCATGATATCTATCAAAACGTTTTCCTGGAACCATTTCATGCATCTCAACCATTTGCCATAGTGTGTAAAGAGTGATGATCCATGAGAGTAGAAGTATAGTTACACCTGGTCCCCTGTATAAACAAACACTTACGGTTTAGAATAATATTGCTTTCATTTGCACGCTTATAGAAGCTTTGTTACTAAATAAAAATCTCTATCGCAATTTGCAAATATAACTCTTTTGGTCATACTCTTTAATATTATTATTTGATTACATAGGATTAATAAAATTTAGAAGAATAGTTTGAGAATATACTTTTTAATAAGCTCTTTTAGGATACTATCATTTATTAGTCGAAATTAATAAAAAAAATTACAAAATATGTTATTTCTAATAAGTAATATCTACCTAATTTTTAAATTTTTTAATTAATAATAATGAGTATAATTAAAAAAGTGTTTGAAAGTGTGTTATTAACATTTCTTTATACCTTGCAATAGTTTAAGACTATGGGATTAAAAAAAATGTTTAAAAATAACATTATTTATTGTATATTTTAAGCTTTATTTGAAAGATAAGAGTTAGAAGAAACAAAAGAATTTAAAAAATAAAGGAAGAGTGGAGAAAAGAAGAGAAAAGAGAATTAATAAAAAAAAGTTCTCAAAATTGAGAGAACTAAAAACTGAGTTTAGAAGGATTTTACAGAATTTATAAATCATCATCCTTTTATCTAAAATCTTCTAAATAAAATTATTACTAAATAAACCTGCATCTTCCCTTATTTTTTGAAAAAATTAACTTTAAAACAAAACCTTAGTAAATAAGTGCAAGCTACAATGCAGATTGAGATTGAAATATACCATCCAAGATCTGACAGGGCATATGGGAGACCCAGAACACCAGCTCCAACCATGGCAGTGACATTGTGGAAAGCTGAGTACCACCATTTTCCATTTCTTTTGGAAGTAATTGGAAGCCACTCGTCAATTTGCTTCTCCCTCTCTGATTTTTCTTCAACCTATTTTATCAACAAACAACAAATCAAATGCAAGAAAACGTGCAACCAATTCACAATAGAAAATCTTATAAGGCACTACAGAGATTAATTTCTTAACATCAAACGTGTAAAATTTTTTGTTACCTTATAAATGCATTCTTCTCTAAGGTTCTACACATTTAACATGGAGGCTCGTCCAGAGAAGAGTTGTAGTACGTGGATATTAGAAAAAAGAAGTTCAAAATAGTATATACATAATAATTAGTAGAATAAAACAAATTGGAATTTTTGTTCTTTTTCCTCAGATTCTTTCTTTCTTAATGAAATTAAAATATTATATTTTCAATTTTATGTTGAGTTCTGTTTTATTTTTTTAATTAATTAAATATTAATCAAAATTTCTATGCATTCGAACAAATTTATCAAAAACATAAAAGAATAATTTTAAATCTTTCCACCTTTTATGCCTACAAATTTTCTTAATTATTAAATGAAAAAGCTATAAATATTTTTCATATTTTAAGATAATAAATGTGTATATATTCTCATTTAATATTTTTAAAAAAATAAGAGAATTTTAAAACGATAAGTCCTATGTATGATATAGTAAAGTTACATAAAAATATGGTGGCAAAATTCTAAAACTGAATCGTGTCCTGTAGAAGTGCTTATTTCTTCTATACGAGAGCCCGACACTTTTGACTTTTGACTTTTGACTTAAGAACACACATGATTTTGACTCATTTGAGGGAAATTTTCTCTATCTCTGTTTTTTTTTACTCATGGCATCAACACACAAGTGATGTTAATTTTCTTTGGATATAGAGTGATAAAGTGGTGTTTTGGAACTCAAATATGCCATCTCTTGTGGGTACACGAATTTAATTTTAAATCAACAGCATTCATGCAAGTTTATATTTTTTTAACAAATGCCAACCAATTTTTATTTTATTTTAAGTATACATTTTTCCAAGGTAATATAAATTTTTTAAAAATAAATTAAATTTGACACTTACTACATTTTATAGAAACATGATATATTTATTTAAGAGGATTTTAAGGAGATATTTAGAAGAACTTGCAGAAAACTTATAAAAATAGAGCATTTTTAATTTATTTCAATCTCATCATACAAGAGTTATTTCCAATAGCTTCTCACTTATTTCAATCTGTTGAAGTATTACAATTTGATAAACATCTTAGTTTAAATTTTATTAGATAATTGAATACTACATCACCACAACAAATCATTATGAAAATAATTTAGTTTATGAGCAACATTAGAGTTTGTTAAAAAAACTAATAACTTTTGATAAATTTATAGATAATTATATTTTGGTACAATAATTAATCAATATGTAGTTATTTAAAGCATACTATTAAAGCCTGAGGACCAGTTTATACATTGAAATTAAAGCATTAGTACCCACCAAGTATGAATGTAAATTAGCATGTAAAGATGGTAACCTCAAGTTCAATTGTTCAAGCCTGGAAGGTGTAAGTAATTACATTAAAATTTTGATAAGGAGAATTTTATTATTTTTGTGGTCTTATATAAATCCATGGATTTACAGTTTTACCCCTGTCACATGTGTACTAAGAAAGTGGTTTCTCTTCTCCATGAAACCTCTCAGTAAGTGTGGCCATCTTTTCCAGCCATCAAATGGTAAGCGAACAGAGAATAACAGATGAAACAAAATATAGAGCATTAAGATATGATGAAGAACTATGATAAAATTAACAATATTTGATTTGAAAGTATAATACTCCAACACAAATTGTTGCATGATAAATGATTTAGAGAGAAACTCACTGTTTTTTTGTGAGGACCAGAGGTGTGACCATTTGCTGATTCAATTTCCAAACTTGCCATAACTGCACAAATGCTGAGCACTCGTCTTGCAAAATAGAGGGCACAAATCAAAGGAGAGAGCAAAACAAAGGGTGTTTGTTGTATTTGCTTGCTCGTAAGAACAAAGGGTGGCTCTTCTCAGCTTTGAAAAATGCCTAATGCATGAGTATTTAAAGGGTTGGAACAGTGGTATCTATAGCCACGTGTATTCCAACCTTTGATACTATAGGCTTAAATTTAATTTTTATTCCTCTTACGTTATATGTATTGACAATTCAGTTGTTATACGAAAAGTTTTTATATTAGTTTCTGTTTCTGTAGTCGTATGTAAAAATATTGGATTTTAATCTTTGCATGTATATAAGGTCTGAATTGAAAATAATATCATATAGAAAGATTAAACTTTTATAAGAAAAATATATTCAAAATCAAAATGATTATTCATATTTTAAAAAAATACACAATATTGCTTGTTTATTCTTATTTATTAAATATAAATTTTAATAATTATTTAATTTTCCAGTTTATTATTTCTCAGAAAGTGATAAATGTCATTTTAAAAATTAAATTTTATTATATATTTTATATGAACTATTTAAATATTCTCTTTTAAGTAATGATTTTAAATTTAACTTAAACCAATTGTCCATATTTTTTTTTATAGTTTTTTTAAATATTTTTAATTAATTTATATTTTACATAAATTTAACAAAGTATCTTCACGCGTTGAGAATAAAAGTCAGAAGAAGGGAGAGTTTTTATACGTGACGAACATGAAATCGTATATATAATTTGTTGGAAATTATATTGAAATTTACAAGGGGAAACGTTGACTTTCTGGTCTATTTTGCAACAACTGTTTTTTCACCGTGTCCAAATTTTCGTGGAATACGTCACACTTTTTCTTGAGAAATGTCTACGTTATGTCATTCCAATATTTTTATTTAATTACACTTAGATCTCTCACTGTCAATAAGCATTTTTGGAAAATTTAACCGTTTAATTATTATTAGCAGTAGTAATTATTTGACAGGTATTATTAAATAAAAAAATTAAAAATATATCACACAATTATTTTTAAATTTAATAAAATTTAAAAAGAATAAATAATATAATTATTAATAATAAATATTATTTTATATTAAATTAAAAATAAAATATCAAAAATTCAAAATAACAGTGAATTAAAAATAAATACATAATATATGAAATATTAAGAAAAATTTCTACAGCATTTTTATTTAAAAATATTTTCATTTAAAAATAAATACTCATAAATTATATCTAGTGTATGAATATTTGAATAAGAATATCAAAACTTTTAACTTTACACTGTTTGAGTATATTCTAATTATATTTAAAAAGAACTTGAAATTAAAACCAAATTTCATTATATAAAGTCAAAAATCTAAAATACAACTCAAATTTTTATTTCTAAATTTAAAAAAAAATTATATTTTTAATGGTTCACAAAATGCTTTTCTTTTAATTAGAACCTAATTTTGTTTTAAATTTATTTCTCATAATAACAATAATAAAATTATTTATTATTTTTAAAGTTATTAAATTTTAAAAATAGTATAATATTTATTCTTTTAAAAAATTATTTTAGTTTAATAATATTTATGCAATATAAGAAAACTTCCGATTATATAACTTGATAACGTCCGTATATTCTAATGTTATTATTTGTCAATTAGTTAGAAAATTTTAAATAAAAGACGTGACGCCGTATACTGTGTACCCGCGCTATAGATCGTTAGAAGTAAGTTTCAAATATATGTTATTTATTTTATGCAAGAACGTTTAATTATGTTCGTTGGTTGAAAACCAGAATGTACTTGGAGAAGTTGTTATATATGGGGTTTTGAAATAAATGTTAATTTTAAAATATAACTCTGACTAAAGGATAGCCTTAAACTAACATGAAATAGTTAGTTACATTAAATTATGCACATATTTAATTTCATAAATTTTAGTTATTTAAATTAAAATTTTTATTTTAAAATTAAAAAAATTTAAAAGCTAAACATAAAATATATCATTGATTAACTTGTATGATTAAAAAAAAAACTATAAGTAATTAAATAAAATTAAATAAAAATAAATAATAAAAATTACTATTATACATAAATTATAATATAAAATACTTTTTTTTAAACATCAATATTTTATTAAAAACAAATTTATAGTATAAAAAGTACTCTAACTCGTTGCAACTTTAAAGAAAATTAATAATATATAAAAAAAATCATTAATCTAATTCGAATATGCAAATTCATATATACAATTAATCTTTTCAAAGGTGTTGCAAGTCACTTTCAAGATACATATTTCAAATATTTGACCCAAGCTTTGATCCTTTTGTAAAATTATTTTTGATAAATTTAGATCAAGCCTGTAACTTAGAGTTGGAGTCGTGCTTCTTTCTCCTCGTATTGGGAAGTGCACTCCTTACATTAATTTTGTTTTGCATTATTGTCTCAATAACAATATTAGATTAAAGATAATTTAATCATTAACTTAATACGTGATTAACCTCATCTGATCTATGAGAAAGCTCAATAATTAGTCCATCAGATTTGTCAATAAACTTTTTTTTTGTTACATCATTGCTTCTGTTGGTCCCTTATCAATAACACTTAGTTGTCATAATCCTTTATCAGCTCCTATGTTATACTAATTACCTTCCTCCGACCAACAAAGGCCCACCTCGGTGAGTCTCTTTTTCAAACACATCTTCATTCAATCGCACAACATCTACATTATTATTGAAAATCAAGTTATTATTAATATTCACTTCATAATTTAAATTCTCTCTCATTCTCACATCTGTTATGCTCTTTATGGAATTTGATTTCGTACTTTCAAACTCATCCTGATATTGTGCAATGTCTAGTACAAAATCATGTAAATTTTGTCTTTGATAATTCACCTCTTGTTCCCTCCTCCTCCGTTGCTATTCACACCATCCTTGGTCACTACTTTTTCACTGTGCTTCCTACTGTTAAATCACAACCTTTCTCATCATCATATAAACTTTCATCCTCCAAAGCGTCTAAATCCAACGAAGCATCGTCATAACTCTCCAACGATGAAGTATTTGAATCATCATACCACCACCCTCCTTGAAAGTATTCTCTCCCATGTTCCTCGATCATCTAGATTGAGAACACGAGATATTAACATGAATCCTTAGATCTTCATTAATCAGGGCGCATGTGTTTGAGTTCATGGGTGAACTCTTGTAAAATTCATACATCTTCAGGAATTCGTATAATCTTCCATGCATACAAAATCTCTTAGCGGTGATACCATCTTTAGAAAGAATACCTCTAACTAAGCATAATATGGCATGGCATACAAACGAACCTACGTTCCCTTACCATACGAGGATATCACCAATCAATAGTATAAAACAACTTAAACAAGTATCTTTACACCTAGCTATTACCTCTCAGATCCTCCGATTCCAACAGAACCATATCATCACCCATGACAATGACCTTGACATTTAGTATTAATTCTCGTAAAAGGAAGTCAGCCACATTATTGAGGTGTAACCTTCCCACCACCCACCTCTCAACCTATCCTGATCAATATGGAACTCGTTGTGACACTACTATTTTTTCTTAGGTACCCACACTACATTCGTGTTTGGCCCTCCAACAACATCCTTTCCCTTCACCATATCTGCATAGCTTTGGCCACCAGCATTACCTCTCTCTTCCACCTTAGTTCAAACGTCAGTCAATGATTTTGATACATTCTTACGCACAACATATTGAGTTTGTCTTGTAATTTCTTGTTTATTGCCAATTGTGCAGTATTTAGACACATTCATTATCATTCGCATATTGCTTATCGTTATGAAATTTAGTCTCTTTTTCATATAATGGACATTCCTGACCTTCATAAAATATTATTAATAATCAAAATTTAAATATTATATTTTATTTTCCTTTTCAAAAATTAGATAAACATTTATCATATTAAATAATTTTTTTAATTTTTTTTTAAACATATCTTTAAATAAAAATATGTCAAATTTTCTTTGTTTGATATACTTTTTTAAGGGAGGAATATTTATGAGATTAAGTTTTTTTTTAATGATCAGTTAATTTATTTTATTTCTAAGATGTTAAATTTTAAATAGATTTGAAATCATTCAATGAGTAAAAGAGTTACTTTTGCACTCTTTTTTTTTATTTCTATTAAAAAAATTTATGATATGTTATATAATTAAGAGATATTTTATGTTTTCTCATATGTGAAATAGTTATTATAGTTGATTTTATATTAAATATATTTAATAGATAGTGAGAGTTAGTGATTTATTTTAAAAAACATAAATATTTTTTAATCTTTAAGATATTAAAAAAATTACAGCCATTTATTTAAAGAATATATAAAATGTTCTTTCAAGTTTACGAATATCTTAACAAGTATCTTAAAAAATTGTGAAACATTTTCTTTAAAGTATTTTTTATGATAATAAAAAATTTAAAATTATTAATTTTTTAAAAAAATTTCAAAATTAAGATTTTACACTTCTAAAAGTAAGTTTTCTAAATTAAAATTGTATGCTTCCAAAAATTAAAATTTTGAAAGTGTCACGAAAAAAAAACTTTTGTTGATTTAAAGCTGAAAAAAAATATTTTCTACCACTAAAAAAAATCACTAATTCTATATTAGGTGATGACATTATATATTGACGTGACGTGAAGCATAATTTATGAAATTAGATATTTAAATTTTTTTAAAAATATTAATTATTCTTTAAAATAAATTTTCAAAATTAAGAAAGGATATTTGTTGTAAAAATTACTATTTGGTAGGTCTCCAAATATATTTTCTATCATTTAGAAGAAGTACAAATTTCATATTAGCCAAAAAGTGTTATTATTATTATTTTTCGTTTGATCACAATGTCTGCCAAACTAGAGCTCTTTTAAGTGCCAACAATATGTTTGTAATGGTTTTTAGTTAAAACAATTATTTTTTAAATTAGGTTTCCACAATTCTAGAAATTAATTTATGAAATTGTCAAATTCTTTTTAGAAATAAATTTTTAAATTTAGAGTCTACACTTTCAAAAATAAGTTA